CACACGAGCTGTTGCACCTCCACATAGAGACCAGGCGCATGTCTAGAAATGACTGCTTTCTGGCAGTGGTCCGCTGCGCCCCTCGCTAATGATACTTCATGGGATTGCCGCAGAGAACTAGGCGTAAAGCCACGCGCTGTTTCAAATCTAATGTCGCAGGAATTGCCAGCATCAAAGCGCTTTGAAGAGATGTCTTTGTAGTCACAGCCTGTTGGCCAGCACATCATCCAAATGCAGCATTCCTGCCATCAGCACTGGCCTCCACTCTCTCCAACCTCTCATTGAGGAAGGGCACACTGCCGAAGACCGCAAGGGCACGAGTTCACATGCCCAGGCCTCGAGGATGATCAGCAAAATCTGTTGCTTCACCTACCAACACTCACCTCCCAGAGATGCAGCGATGTGCATCGACCCGCCTTTCGGCCATTTGTTGAGTCCAGGGAACGCTTTGTCGTCCTGGCCATGCGAAGCGGCTACAGATTGATTAGAACATCATCAAATCCTGCCTGGGCCCTGAGCCAAAATTCTCGCCCATCAAAGAGCAAGCCTCGAAACTAGAGTGACCACGCTCTTGTCAAACGGCAAAAATTGCAGGGTGGCCTTCAAATGTTCAAATGGCCCTCCAATTGCATGAGCCGTTGGTTCAAGAACTGGACAGCTTGCACGTGCGGCACACGGACTTGGGCGCATGCTTTCAGCAGGACCAGGCAGCTGCGGCCTCCAGCAAATTCTTCAAGGTCCGCTGCGTTACCTCAAACTCAAAGTGCCAACCAGCACCATGTTATGTAACAGGCCCACGGCCCCAAGAACTGAGGGCACGGCGCTCAAGGCCATCGCAGCGCGCCAAAGCAGGCAAACTACACCACTGGAGCACACTCAAAGCCAGAGACGCTTGCGGCTTGCAGACATGAACACAACGACTGTCGAGCTGTGGGAGCATCTGGTCGCAGTTGCGAAGTTGAAGACCAGGGCAGTACGTCCATCCAGCAGTCGGAAGTCAGAACTCAACCTGAAGCCGTCTGATTTGGAAGTAGACAAAAATCTCCCGCGGGTCCTAATGTCGGGTTCTGATTAGTAAGCTCCCTCACTCAACAAATACGATTCTGAATAGTCCACGGGGCCCCAATCAAATGTCGAAATATTTGGTTAGGGGGGGCCGGGCCAGAGGCTGGACCCTGAGCCTTTGATTAAATCTAAACCCCGAACCTCGAACCCTAAACCTTGAACCCCGCTCCCCAAATCTTGATGAACTCCTCAGCTTTAAGCTCTTACTTAAACTCTAAAGCCGAGCCTGTAATTGAACTGTAAACCCTAAGCCTTTGACCCTAAACCCTAACAGTTCCAGCCCTTAGGCTTGGGATATATTTGCAGTTTACATCTTATTATTCTTTGCAGATTTTGGGGAAGGGACCTCATTATTCCGTACCATTTTTAATGGCCATTATTCCGTTCCGGCGGTCTCGGTATAGTACCCCTTACCAGAAATGATTGCCTGGGCTGTGTGAATAAGCGGTCTTATAAGAAGTCGATAGTTTCTGGCGTGCTCAGAACCTGAGGATCGGAATGGAAATGGTTTCTGGCGAAAAACCTTTAAGTAATTTGGTTTGAGATCCATAAGCCTAAGGCTTGGGATATAAGTATCTGCAATTTGTTTTATTCTTCTTTTGCAGATACTTAATTAGGGGTTCGGTTGCTTACGCTGGCTGGCTTGTCTTAGCTTGGCACTATTGCGTTCCTGCACTGTTATGAATCCGTTCAGGTCGGATTTAGCTCTAATACGTACCCACTTTTAGTATTCCGCTCAGGCCTGATTTAGCTCTATTACGACCCCCTTTACTAATCCGAAGTCGACATTAGGGGCCCAGAGAGAGCAAAGTACACTTCCATGTCTGACACTTAGCATAAGCTGCTAGGAGGTCGCTGGCTTCGAACTTTTGGGTGCCCAAAACGCTCTGCAAGCTGGTAGATGCCGGAAGGAGCAAAGGGATGGCAGCATTTCAGACAGGTTGATAGCTGGCTCATTAGCCGGAGGAGTTCTGGTTGGTGGGAATTGGACTGAAGAATCGAGATAATCAAGGCACAGTCCTCGTTTGCAGTGGAGTGTTCCCTGCTGCCATACATGCTCCGCAGGGCTGAATTCTGAACGCCATCTCGGCAGGTCCGGTCCAGATCCCAGACAGCGACGCAATGCAGAGAGTGTATTGAAATTTCTCAAGGTGTAGGCTAGTCCTGACGCTATGGATGCCATGTGCAGTGGACAATTTCCTTAACCTACCGAGAGAAGGTTCCCAACCGTGGCCAATCAATATGGGACCTGTTGACCCTTCCATCCCAGTGTTGTTCGATCAGCAGTCTTCGGTAGCATCGTATGCTAACATCATACATGTGAATGCTCCTGCAACCTCGAACAGTGTCAATGATGCTGCAATTCATGTTGGAAGCAGTGCCAGTACTTCCACTGAGGAGTGCCAAAGTGCTACTAGGATAGGCGTATGCGCGTAACAGACTCTCTGGGCCGAGATCCGAAACTGAACATGGAAGCTCATATGCTACCCACTGACACGTGCTGTCGCCGGAGTCCTCGAGTCAAACAGCATGCGTCTTGAGTTGGCTGAACATGAGCAGTGCCTTCGTAGGAGTTACTCGGAAGCTTGCTACCGCGCAAGCCCCCCAAACACAGGGGCACCCTCTTGAGGGTCCTTGAAAATTTCTGCTTGTCGGGCACCCCACTTCGTTGTTTCATCTTCAAGCTAAGAATGCTCGCAGGATCAGGACTCCGGCGGTGAGACAACATCAAATGGCCTTCTCAGCCATCCGGGTGGCTATGCCTAAGCAAAGAGGGATCACTTGGAGCACTGACTATTTCCAATCAGGGTGAGAATGCCAAATCTGCTAAACATATCATCGGCATCGTCGTCCAGCCACTGATCATACAGCATTGGAACCCCCCATTACCGAAGCAGCGGCTCTAGGCAGAAGCGTTCAAGTCCGAGCGGGGGATGCTCTTGCAGTGACAGACATGTGCGTGTGTCCCGCAAATCGACATTAGACCCGACATTAGGCTGACACCTGCATGTGGATAAGCTGGTGGTTAGCATGCAGAGCAAGCAGAAAGACTGGGGTGACTGCTTCTAGCCAGGTCTGCAATGTTCGGAGCTCAGTTGACACATCCCATCGAGACCTGAGGCAACCAGATACGAAGCGAGCCCCAGCCGACCAGCCAAGTCGCATTAGAGCAAGGGCAGCTTGAGCTAGGTATTCCAAGGGATCCTCATTTCGGAGGAGCCTCACTGACATACACAACACCACAAGTACGCACAGGATGCCCGATGTTGCAGAAGCTCAATAGCACTACTTACAAGCACACAGCCGGCAGAATGGTAGCCGCTGGGTCCTTGCGAAGCCCTGTCCTGAAGTACGCTCTTTGCCTTATGCCTCAGGACTTGCCGCGCGGCTGGCATGTGGGAATTGATGCTGGAGTTTGTTTTGGACAAGCAGGCTACAGAACATTTCCTGGCAGCGTGGCTGCAGGCCAAGTCTTGCAGCTGCTCCACAGCTTTGCCACGCGAGCAGGGGCTGGCAAACCCACCAAATGTTATGCACTAGGCATGTCTGAAGACAGATAACAACAAACAACTGCAGCATAAGCTTGGTGAATGTGAGTTTAGCAGTAGTCATTGTCACATCGCAGATCGTATTGGTGACGGTGGCGGCATTGACATTCTTGTCAAAGAACAACAACTGGTGGTAGGATTGTGCGAGGATTAGTGGTGCCAGCATTGATGTACAGCATGCCCTTTTTGGTCCTTCGTGCGGCTGTGATATCAGTACTCTTGCTGCTGCTGCTGTTGTTGTTGTTGTTGCCGTTGTTGTTCTTACTCTTGTCCCTCTTCTTGTTGTTGTTGTTGTTGTTGTCATTGTTGTTCTTGTATGTTCTTGTGGTTCCCCAGTCTCAGTGGGGTTGGTAGATTCTACCAAGTTTATGTTCTCCTCGCCTCTCCGTGCATCACCCAACCGCAGAATATCCAGCAAGCCGAGTATGCCTACTGCGAAATGTCCCTGCAGTGCCCAACAGAAGAATATCTACAGAGTATCCCAGCTGTGCCCGCAGAGTATTTGCAGGGTATCAACAGAGGAGTATCCCAGCTGTGCGCACCCCCCCCCCCTGCCGAACCACGGAATACTCCTGCAGCGCCCAACCGCAAAGTCTCCTGCCTCCAGCGCCCAACCACAATTCCCTGCAGCGCCCAACGTCAGAGTATCCTTGCTGCGCCCAACCCAAAATAACCCAAAATACTCGAAAGCTTTTCTGCAGTGCCCGAATCTCTCCCTGCAGTGCCCAACTTCGCGATATCTCTGGGGTGCCCAACCCCAGAGCATAACAATGAAAATCCACGCCTCAAACAAGCCACCGCACCACTAAATCGGCAGGTGCTCGGAGTGTGCAGCTGTTCTGTCCGCAGGCTGGAACAACGTTTTAGAATTACATTGCTGATGCATACTGCATATTGCTGCTGGAAGTTGTTGATGATGCCAGCAAACCACAAAAAGGAAAGGGTGGGAATCGTCGAAATGGATAATTGTTCTTGTTATTTTGCTAGTAGTGCTATTTTTTGACACTGTCTCCTTCATTGATGTTGTTACTATTTGACATTAGCAAGAACAATAGCAGTAGCAGCAGCAAGGGCAGTCATTAACAGGTATGTGACCAATGATGATTTTCCCGGGCGGACCTCTTTGAAAACCAAGGCTTCTGCCGGCGTCACGCCTCCATCCCGGGGATCTTCGTCCACGCCGTTGATCCAGTTAGTTAGCCTGGCAGGCAGAGGAAAGGAAAGTTGACGCTGCATTGCTTTGTTACCACGCTCGCACCCACTCCCCCAGCATGTTTGTGTAGTGCAGCAGGAGCAGCAGCAATAATGTTGTTTAGGGTTCAGGGCTAGAGTTTTGTAGTGAAAGAAGCAGTACTATGGCATCTTCCTTGACCCATTAGGAATAATCCATACCGCTTCTATTCGACCAAACTCGCGGGAAAGGCGTCCGGAGCGGATCAAACTCCTGCTCCTGGGGGTTTGGACGCACGGCTGTCCGGACCTGGCGGGCGCCACAGTATCGAATAAGTCACAAAAGGAGGGCATAAAATGAAATGCTATCAAGAAAAGTAATGATGAGGATGGAGGTGAAGCCATGGACATACCGCAGCGCAGAAGACAGCAGCAAAGATAAATCTGAACTCTTGCAGGCTGGAGGCTGGCAGGGTTTCAGATTCGGGAAGTCATTACTTGTCCTATATCGTCTTATATCAACACTGTGCATTGATTCGAGACAAAGATGCTGAGCCTGGTAGCGGACCCTCCACAGCTGATCTCCCTGCGCGGACGGAACATTCCCAGGTTGAGGGTTGCAAGAATCACAAGTTTTGGGTTCAGCCTTTGTGTGCTTCAGGGGCTGCGTCCTCATGAAGTCAAGGGGAAGAGGTGGGGAATGTGTAGCCGGAGCGGCTCCCATTTATCCAAATAGCACACGAAGCATTGGCTTTCCACACTTGCTTGCGTGAATCTGCGCCGACACCGACACGGATTTGTCTTGAGCTTATTACCGTTTGTTCTCCGTGCAACAGCCAAGCGCGCGGAACGAATAACACAACCTTTTCTCCGAAGCAGGGTGGATCCCGATTCACGACAGCTTGAGTATCAGCTTCTGCAATTTTGCATCCAACCTCAGCTGTGGAACTTCGTTTCTGTTGGTTCGAATTCAGTCCTGGTAATCAGTCCAAAAACTGAGAACATTATGCCTAATGAGGGCCTGATGAAAGCCTTTGAGCATGTGCTTGCAGGACAGCGCCAGGTTCTGCCGTAACATGTTTCAATCATGTAGCATTCCGAACAGCATGTTGCAACCGAACAGCCGAAGAACCAGGGCAAGCTAATTCATGTCATCAGTGGCTACCCATGAGCAAAGACTTTCACTTGTGGCCTGGCAGTTATGTGATATTTGGAGTGCCCGGCCCCTCATGTCGTTCACTTTATGTTTCGATCTTGGAGCTACATTAACGAAATCACATGATTTCGTTCGAGATGTTGGAATATGTGCCAAGTTCCTGCTACAAAGGAAACTATGGCCTATCTCGTTCAATCCGCAGCCCCTATCTAGTTCACAGAGGAACGTTGAACGCAGATGCACGCCTAGTCTTCTACTCTCTTGTGTAAATCAATGCGGATGCTCACATGAAAATGAAGCCTAACAAAGACAGTTTCCGTGGACGACTGGCACTATCAAAAAGGGAGCCCAGCAACACCAAGACCCAGGTTGCAATGGCTCATACATCACGGATGACACAATTGCTGATTACATGGGCAGGATGTACTTGTGCCATCCGTTTTGAAAGAAGTGTGACTGGGTGCCTATCAGAATGTATGGACCATAATACTGCATCCTTCCAAAAACATCTCAGAAGTCTGCAAATTTCATTAGTCCCAGAGGCTGCTTCACATCGTGCTGCAGAGCGTAAGTGTCGATTGCTCGGGCGCCACCCTTACATCCTTGGTCACCCGCGAGTTCTCGAAAATCATGCAACGCAGTATCCAAAAGGAAAAGATGCCTGTGCCTAGCCAGGCAGCTTGATAGACACAAGGAACCACGTACAGCAATTGAAGCATCAGATCCCAACTTTGAATTTCAAAGGTCCTGGAGCAAGCTCTGCGTTCATAAGGCAAGCTGCTCATGATGCCACTGATGAAATCGTCCAGGGTGACCTTGTTGCATACACCCATTCCGATGAGTTCTACACATGGGAGAAGGCTCTATGACTTCCTAATGCCAGTCTTAGTCTGGTATCCACAACTGCGAGGCTACCCGCCTGACGCTTGAAGTTGGTCAGCGAACAAAGGCACACGAGGGGTGTTGTCTCACATTAAACTTTTACACTGACGGTGCATTACGGGCCTACTCCGCAAAAGTTCGGTGCATGGTGGCGGTTTCTTCTTGTGCATTCAAATCGACTTCGGGGACATGCCACCCCACAGCCCTGAGCAAGAACCATGAGTCAAACTTAAAATGGAACAGGGTGGTGTTGAGCAACCCCTCTCACCCCACAATACCCAGCGTGCAAGACCTTCTGGGCCATGATGATTCAGTCCCTGGAATTGCCAAAGCAAGTAGAAACCCGTGCTGTGGAGACTGTCTCCGGCCTCCCCTTGTCCATTGTCCAGAAGGTGGAACAACGCGGCTCCCTCCTCAGTCAGTCAGAGCAGGCATAACCATCTCAAACAATTCGGTATTCAATGCCATGCAACATGGGAGCTCTCCTTGCTCGCAGCTCCATTCCGAAGTCACTTGGCACTAATTTGGCGAGGGCCACGACAACTGCCACGCCGAAAGATCAAGATCTGAAAGCTATGGATGGGCCTCCATGCCGCGAGTTGTAGACCACACCCTTCTGGAAAACTTCTTTAAGCCAGACTCCCCAAACCCTGCCTTGCTTAAGACACAAAGGCAAGGAATGCAATTACAGCATGTCAAAGGTTGCGTAAGGTCTGCTGCCACAGGCACTTGCACGTCAATCTCCAGTGTTGAGAAGTATGCCTTGACTTTCCTCAGCGGCGGCTCAACATCATGTGCTGGTCCCCGTTCGGCCCACAGGTAGGATAGTAGCAAAAAGCATTCGTGGCTCGTAAGTGGTCGTGAAAAAGCATAGCAGGCTGAAGGGTGACAACAGAAACGCGTGGTTGCTGACGGCTGCATGCCCTGGACCATCTGGCTTGCTGATCACAATGGAGCGACAGAAAAGATGGGCACTAGCATGGATTCTGAAAGGTACGGTGGTCGACCAGTGAGCTTCCAATTCCAAGCATCGGGTTTGCAAGAATCTCGGCCAGTCTCTTCTCCGTGAGGGTACCTCCAGACATGGGTCTGAGGACGTCTTGGTGGCATTGTCGGGCTTCGGCTTTCTGCGCGCGATGCTGAATGGAAGAGAAAAGGCATGCCTGGCGTTTAACATGATTTTCTGCGCGATTGCTTGGCGTGCCCAAGCTTTTAGTGCAGCTGCCTCTAAGCGTTCAGTTATTCAACAGGTTGCTCGGGATCATCAGGAGTATGACTGACTATTACAAACACTTGCTGACTGTTGCCGCTCTTGTGCTGTGCCTGATTGATGGGAATCAGTACCAGCAAGTACCGCGTCTGCTAGTAGCAGAAAGAGTGTCAGCAGCAGCGGCGGAGCGCCACAGCGCTATCGCCGCAGCAGCAGCAGCAGGAGCCGCAGGCGGAGGAGGAGCGGTACGAAGGGGAGTGGCGATCACACTGATCAGACTGATAAGTACTCAACTCACAGAAGAAGCGGCAAAAAACTGCAAGCAGATGATCTAGGATGAAGAGTGCAACTGTCATGAGGACTGTTAATTGCACATCAAGAGAATCACGTCTTGTTTCTTGCTGGCCATGCATTTGCGCCTGTGTCGCGCCCCTCATCATCGATGATTGCGTTGAACAAGCCCTCCAACCTCCAGGGTCTTCAGGATTTCTGACATAACTCATTTGAAAATTGCGGTGGCCATGAACATTTTCCCTCTTGGGAAGTGCAATTTGCATGGCATTGTATCATGGCCAAATCGAAGAAACCTGTTCGGATTCCGCAAAGTTCATGACACTTTCGAACACAAGATCCAGAAGCTGAGCACTGCGTCAGNNTCACTCAATCGGTAGGAGCGACGGCGGTGTGTACAAAGGGCAGGAAGGCAGTCAGTCAGTACAAGCTGATGACTCGCACTTCCTGGGAACTCCTTGTTGAAGATCAAAACTGCAATGATCTGTCCCCATCGCGATGCATAACAAGATTGCAAACTAGCTGAGCGCATTGGTACAGCGTGCGTGCCAGGCAATGCCGAAGACAAGGGCACCTTTTGCCCAGTAAGTTGTTTCTTGAAGGGAACCCTCGATTTCGCCCCGGCCCGTGCCTCTCCACGTATGCGGCCCTCTTGCGAAGCCTGTCCAGCACCAAATGCTGAGCATCATTGTTGGCCTCAAGAGGCACGCGCACCAGCGTTCTGCAGAAAGCCTTACCAGCCCTACCTGGGCTACGCAAGTATGCAGGGATCCTGAGTGATCGCTTACTGCATGGAGAGGCAACATCTTTCAGCTAGGCATGGGTGCTGCAGATTGCAGGGTGAGCATGGTTCACTCTGCATACTGGAAGACAAACCCATGGCCTATCAGCAATGTAAGCAAGATATCCAGATCTGCTATGGCTGGGGAAGCTTTCAGCGTCAGACCCTATCATCCCACTTTGCCTCGTCAAGCGTGTCCTTGAGAAAGATCGCCGAAATTACACGAATAACAGCCTGGGGTGGGTTTTATACTTGGACAGAAAAGGCGGAACATTCAGCTTCGTGAGGATTCTCTTGAGCACATGGAGGATCATGACGGTTCCTGCCAAGCAAGACACCGCACATTGCGCCGCATGTGTTGGGCTCTCAGTTTGAATATCACAGATTTCGTGGGCCTGCCCACCTTCAATTATGTCAACGGGTGGTAGCGGTGGTTGATGCTTTGCGGATTGGCTGCAGGAAGTACCGGCTAGCGGCTAGCCGCTCTTGGGCCTTCTATGCCCTGACGGTTTGCTAGTGGGAAAGGCAGGGAAGATTTGACGCTTCGCAAACCGTGACCGAAAACCATAACTGGAAGGAATTCTTGTCTGCATCCAAGTTAAGGCCCGCAACAAACACTATGATCGTGATGTACAGGAAGTAGAAGATCACGAACGACTGGCTTACTCGTTCGAGGATCGGCCTTACGTTCGTAGGCCAGTTCCTCAGTCTGTGCTGGGTCTGAAAAATATCGCCCATGTCATGTGTCTCATAGTGCTGCAAAAGCATGGCAAAACATGCAACTCAGGCCAAGCGACCCTGCAAATGTAATCCTCGGCTGTGCAACACATGGCGTGTTTTGCTTGTTTGAAAGCCAACATGGAGAATCTCTGCCGTGCGGGAACGACAAGCAAATACAAGCAGTATGCCGTTCAGAAGCCAAGGATCTCATAAAGTGTGTATAGCGCCCGGTAAGTGGTACCATAGCGATTCCAGACCCAAAGTCGGTCGTCCATGCTCTTGGACTCGTCTCTGATAAAGTCTTGAAGCAGATTGCCCAAAATCAAAGCCCCCATGCCTAGGCAGCTTTCTGACTTACAACATAGGCAACGATCTGCGTTGATGCACGAGCAGCAGCTCCTAAACAGCCCAAGATGCACATAAAGACTGCCAAGAGAAGCATCGACCAGCACAGCGACGGCAAGCAGCACTGGCAAGCCTGCTCTAGTGCGGCTGGCGCTTCAATAGTACCTTGTATGTCCTTTCATCGCATCCGTACGCTACGTATGTTTTGTGGCGGGTCTGTGGGCGGATTGGTTGCTTTGTCCAGGATTTCCGCTTCATGGGCGGGCAAGTGGCTCTTCGAAAGCTGCCTGAGCTAATGTCGTTGCAGCGTTTCACCGCGGTCTCTTCACTGCCCGTGTTTAGGCTGCTATGTCCTTTCACGGGACCCTGCTGCCTCCTGCCGGAGGTGACAACTGCGTGGCCAAAACATGAACTTTAAGAGGTATGATTTTGCAATCAAGACATCTTGCACTCACATGCTCGAAATCGAGCGTCAACTGCCAGGTTTCACCAGTCCCCCTTATCTGGCAAGGACCTTCCCATCAACCATCGCTAGATGCGTGAGAACTGCCTCTAGATGGCAGTGCCATGGTTTTGCTCGTGCCGGTTGCAGCATCCGCTGCTGTCCATGCTGGCACAGGCCTAAGACTCTCAGGTTCTTCTTAGCATTTTCAGCGGCCCATCCTTCACGAGCATGCGCAGGCCCGGCGAGAATCTGAAACTCCTGGCGTTCTACGTGCAGCAGAGCATCTGGTTCCTACGGTGTTAATATCATGCCTGCGCCTGCGCCACGTCTCTTTGAAGCAAATCCATAACTGCGGAATCTTGTTTCGGCATAACCCTGCTGTCCTCACCATTCTTATGGCGCGGAAGGCTTTGAGCGCCGACACGAAGCGGAGCGTAACCTGCGAGGATGAGATTCACAAGCCTGGCCTACAGTAAATGGAAAAGTGCTGGGTTGAAGTTGACGTAGTCACCCACCATGGGGCAGTAGGCTTTCAACTCTTCTCCCACTGCGAACGGTTCCGTCCACGCCGAGGCAACGCTCTTGCCACTCTCCGTTTCTCAATTTATGTCAGCCGTACAAATTCTGATGTTGTGGTGTGAGACCAGCGTGGCAATCTGCTTCTCATCTGAGACCTGCCTAGACGCTAGCTGCCAAGAGAACACAAAATGGTACCCCATTCAGGAGAATCTCAAGCAAAGCACGAGGAGGACTTACAAGCATCTCAAGATCCGCTTCGCTTCTGTGCTGTCGCGGCGTAAATCTTGTGTTCCGTCAATGCAAGCCTTGCTTCTTCTTAGCCACTTGTCAGCCCAGGATCTGAGAGCCTACGAGCCGATATGCAGCCCGAAAAGTACCACCATAGCCAAATCTAGACTCACTGCAGACGTTTTCTCCGCGCACTTGTCCCCAGCATGCTTAGTAGGCAAAAGGTGCCAAGCCTTTCTAGTATTTCGTAATGCCCCCTGTTTGCAACTTTGGCACCATGTCTTGATCTCCTGGTGCGGCTGATGGAGCCATGGTCCTTGATCACATGGACAGGTGTCGGTCTACAGATATGGTTGTTGCCGGCCTGAGCACTGGGGGCCGCCTTCTGATGAGTACCCTTAATTGAGGTTACATGGCCAGTAACGGGAGGCACTTAGGCCTAAGCAGAAGGTAGTTGGAGGGTCTAGGTAAGCTTTTTGTCGGACCTTTTCTCCACCGCCTGCAATAAACAGCAGGTAGTTGGAGGGTCTAGGTAAGCTTTTAGGGCTCAGGGTTTGGGATTTAGGGTTTAGGGGTTGGAATTCAGTGTTTAGGGTTTCCTTGATGTCGGAAGTTCATTCACAATGTGTTGGGGTCTGCTCTGCTGAATTTGTGGGGCCTCTTGCGAGCAGGCGACAGAGACAAATCCACCAATCCACCAGCCACAAGGATGAAGTCGAGGTAGTTCGCAATGTCCTGCATTGGTTTGAAATGCTGTGTTGCCTAGAAAACCTCATGGCCTTCTTCGAGATTCAAGTGGAAGCTACGAGCAGCTGACTCAAGTCCATTGATTTTTTTAAATCATGGCACAAGAAAAAAGCGTCAGTGCTAGTAGCCACAGTTTCCCCTTTTTCTTACTATGATGGGAAAGCTTTGAAGCGCCTAAGTCCTTTGCCCGACAGCTGAAACTGTTGGCACCCCAAGTCCTTTACAAACTTCCACTTCTCCAAAAAGATGCGAATGAGAAGCTCTGCCAGAAAGATGAAAACAAACACGCTGTCCATCACTTGGAAGATAGGCAGTAGGGAATCGAAATTCTGTCTTGTAGGATGGACTCCAAGTTCCCAGGCGAGCTGGCGGCCCTCAATCTCGAGCTGAAGCATAAGCAGAACGGAGTTCAGAAGGACCAGCGCCCCGGCAATGTGATCCAAGTAATACGCGACCTTCTCTGAGCAGATGCTGAAGCGGGAGCGCTTCTTTATCCGACCATCCGAGGACTCCCTCAAAATGTAAGCCACGGCCTCGTTCTGACAGTTGGTATTGCGGTTCTTCTTGCTTTTCCTCTTCTTCTTGGAGCCAGTTGAGTTTAGCGTCGTGCGCCTGGTGTCCTCAGCACACATCCCCCCCTAAGGGACAATGTTTGTTCTGCGGATGGCTACATCTATTCATGAGACCAGGTCAACTTTTTTTTGACCGCTGAACCATTACTAATGGCGGATCCTCTTGATTTTCAGCATTCTTGCAGCCTTCCAACTCTGCCTGCTGTGGGAGATGTATACGCCGCGCTACTTAGAATCCTATCATAACTAAGTAATTCTTTTGGGCCCCAAAGTCCATCAAGATTAACTACATTGGGATGGAAACCATGGAAACCATACAAAGCGTAGGAACCATGGGAACCCTGGTCACCGTGTGGACGGCCTCTGATCCACGTTCCAAGTGGATCCCCTTGTCCACGTTCCAAAATGACACCAACTCACGTTTCAAATTGACCCCGTTCCCTTGAAAACGGTACTGCTCACCGCAGCTACTTCGGGTTTTGCATTATGGGGGTGAATCGTGACACCTGCCTGCCTGCCTGAGACTTCAAGTCATGATGCAAGTGCCACTGAGTGGTAAGGGTGAACAGCGCTTATCGAATCTGGGAATTACTTGCATGCCAGATTGCCTGGCTGTCGTCACCTGGATCAGGCGCTTGCGACTGGTTGGACCACGCTCCCGAGGTTTCTGGCCAGGGACACAGGTTGCCCAAGCTGTTGCACCAACATGGACAACAAACAAAATCCTGATGGATGGAAACTGGCCGTTCTGACTCTGCTGTCACTATAACCATGGTAGTTTGGAGGGAGTCCAAGCTTGCCTTCCAACCGCCTTGCCATCATGTGTTCCTTTGGCCAGCAACCGATAGTAGCCCGCATCCAGTAGCCATCTACTGAGATACTACGCATGGAGAGGCTCAACAGCCAGTAAAATGGGGGCCAGGTTGTGACTGGTATCGCACTTTTGGCAAGCTTTTGAGCAACCCGGAAGACCTTGGTGACTCCGACTCCGTCCCTTCCTCGCCTGAAAATTCTGCCTCGGAAGCATCTGAAGCTTTAGAGTCGACGGAGATATCTGAGCCTTGGAAGACAAGAGTGCCAGTTGCAGCATACCCTTAAGCTTTGGGGTATCAGACTGCCCCTCGAGCTGAACCTTCAGGACTATATCACTCTCTCGGTTCCTCCGCTCATCTAGGCTAGCTAACCGCTGAATTTGTTGTTCTGGACGCTGCCCCAGGCAGTCAAATCTTACCATGATTCCATAACTATGGCTGCCATCAGGGCTGCTACTTCTTCTTCTGTTCGTTGTGCTATCCTTTTTTTAAATAATTGCAGTACTATAAGCTCGGATGGGCATGCTCCTATTCCTTGTTACCAATAAGCTCAGTGGCTTGCGTGTGTGTTCCAAGGAAGTAGTAATTGCGAAAAAACAAATCACAATCTACCGTATGTCAGAAACGGCTTCAACAGTCAGCCAGCTTCTCCATCCTCTGATGGCAAGCTCAGCTTGCCAGCTGCTGGCATCGCACAAATTGTTTGAGCTGCCAGCCTAGATGCTTGTGGCTATTAGCTTGTGACTGAGCAACACGAAGTCGTCATTGGCAGCCCGCTTTTGTTCTTGACTGTTGTCGCCGAGACGCCTTCTGAGTGGCTCTTGCTGACGTTGCTCATGCCCTTGATATTCAGTCAGGCTGTGAGTCTGAGCGTGGGCAGACCAAACTGCAAGCCGTAACAGATTGTGGGTACACGTAAACTTCACATGCAAACTCTTCAGAGCTTCCCAGCAGAGAGGCCGGGAGAAAAATAGAGGGCTTGAGAATGCAAGGTCGACGGCTGAAGGCAACCATCCTAGAGTCCTGCACATGAGATGCCAAAAGGTACAGTCCACGCGACGGTCAGCGTTCGGGGCATCTCCGGGCCGTCCTTCGCAAGAAGTTTGCAGGTCTTTGGAAAGCTAGAGTTAGAGCAAGAAGTTTGCAGCTGGGATACCACTCATTACTGGCCCCAGGATGGCTTCTGTTGGGTAGCAGCTTCGGATACTGGCTTAGAGTGACTATGTGGAAGACAGGCAGGAGAAAGCTGTCTCAGAACACCTACCCCCCAGTGGTTGCAGCTACGTGCGGCTAGACGCTGCTTGAATCCAGATGCATGAGCGACAGAGACCCAAAAAGACAAAGTGCCTTCATGTCCACCCCAGGCGTGTGCATAGGTGTCTCATCCACAGCAAGTACAGGCCTCAGGCCACCGGCAATCTCACTAAGAAAACAATTCTGAGGTTCCATAATCTGAAACAAAGCTATGCTAAACTCACAGCCAAAGTGCTGCATTGTCGGAGAAGGCAAAAGGCAGATCTGAAGCTCAGGGCGGTTGTTGTCCTGTTTCGCTCCTCGCGAAGGACTCTTCCATTACAGCCCGTATTGAAAGAGGAAGCATGATCGTATCTAAGCAATCACAGCTGCAAGGCTCCGTTGGGAGTATGTGCGACTGGCGGGACTTCTACAGAAGAGTTCGCTGCGTCACTCTCAGTTGCATCTGTTGTTCCTCACATCCCCTGCGCAAGGCATACCTCTCAGTAGTTTCGATGCAGCTATCAAGGGTTGTGGATTGCAAGCAAGCTCCGTAGCCTCAAAACACCTTGTCCCAACAAAAAGCAGCCAGTGGCTCTCTTCCGAACACTGTGCCAAGCTGGGGCCTGCCCTACTGGCCCTACTGCATCAACGCTGCTTCCTTGTTGCTGGATCTCCAGAGCTGTCAGCTCAACCTGATCGCTTTAGCAGCTTGGGCGACTATGCTTGTACTATCTGCACAGGAATCCTGGTAGTAGTGCCCTTTTGACCTGTGCTTTGTCGAATTCCCAAAGTCAATCCTGATAGGATGACGAAGGCTGGAGTTCCCTGCTATTTTATGAGTAGATAAGTTGTACATCGCACATTGGTTTAGCGTCATGGAATCAGAGGGCACCGAATGGGACCGGAACTTCATCAAGTTTGTGTGCAACAGGCTGGAAAACTGGGGTATCTTCAACACCAATTAGTTCCGTCTTTGGAGCTTCACCATTCAACATGCTTGAAGACAGACAAACGTCCTGGCTTCTTCCTTTTTTGGTCAGCGACATCATTCTCGCATTAAGAGATCACCACAAGATTGACACAGCTGTAGAAGCCCCGTCTGAAAAATGTGCAAACTACGTACGATCATGTCAACCTGCAGTCCCAGCCGCGGCCCCAGCCGCGGGAAATCTACAAGATTGACATCATTCTTCAACTCCAGTAAAATGATGTGTTGCTTTTGCAAACGGAAGACCTTGAAATGGTCACATTGACAACGACATATGTACGTGAGTCAGTGAGACTTCCCCAAACTCAAGCCCGGCACCCTGACCTTGAAGCCTCGCCAAGTGCTGCTGCGAGGCTCTCATGGAGTGAAGTGCTTGGTCAATAGCCCGGCGTTGTTGCTCCGCTAGGGCAACGAGCCTCGTCAATCTTGCTGTTTCTGTGTTGATGATCCTTGTCTTTTTCTTTTTCTGCTTCCCGTTCTTAAGTTTTGTCTTCTTCCTTGTTCTGCTGCTGCTGCTGCTGCTGCTGCCAGTGTCAGTAGTAGCGTTGCTCTTCTTCTGCTTGGTGGTGGTGGCGGATGACGATGGTGCTTCTTCTTGGTGCTGGTGCTGGTGTTGCCGGCAGCGCGGTCGACTTCACTGCTGCCACTGCGATTATGACTATTGACTATGATTACCAGTGCTGCTGCATTAAGATTGACAACTGCAGAAAGCACTGATATGCCAATGCATCACTACCAGCCCGATTCTGAACGTGCTGCTGTTGCTGATACCATTTTGTTGGCTGTTGCTGGGTCTGCTGTGATGAAACTTCTGGCCTGAGGAGCCCGTGTTGATAGTATCTGTGGCACATGGTTCATGTGTAGAAATTGCCTAGTACACAGGGAGCTGTGAGGTAAGTTTGGTTGCGCATTGTACAGCGCTTCCAGGAACGCTGCTGGCCATCGAATTGTCCAGCTAAGCAAAGCTGCCATAGCACATCTGCATACCTTTATTGCAAGCCATATATGTGGCCGAGAGGCTGCTGCTCGTGTCTGGCCACCACTTGGAAAACGTCCTGTGATGGTTTGTGTCTGGTGCTTCTTGCTCATGGCTGCCCAAGCCCAAGAATATGTGCTTGTGCCTCCACGAGAAAAATTATCGAAGAGAACTTTGCTGGCAAGGAGTCGTAAGAAACCAAAACGAATGATAGGGGCGCACCGAGGGAACGGAAAAATGTCAAGAACCGCCGGTACTGAAGAATCAAATACGAGCCGCGCTTCAAATCACCATCGCATCCTGAAGAAAATGATTTCCGTCGGGCGCCGAAAACCCAGCCGGCTCAATTTGAAACGGAGAAGCATCACAAATGACCATACAATGCTTAATCACTCTGTGGATCCTGTGCATTGTGTTCCGTTAGCAAGTCCTAGAACGTGAGCAAATGCGATCTGCGGGGGACTTCCCAAACGGTGTCCAATATGTTATTCTAAAGCCTACGGCATTGGGCCTCCGTCTGGCAAGGTCAGCGGTTTGGGATCAAGGGGCATCGTCAATTTTTTTCACGCGAATTAAATTGAAAGGAGCGACATGGCTGAATTAATTAAGTGAACAAGAACCCGTAACAGACCATAGAACAATTTGTTAGAGAAATTCCCAAAATTGAACTAGGTGTAGACTAAATACTCTAAATTCTGGGGTACATTGTTCAGTCGTAAGCTAAATCTCATACCATTCCTATTAGTTAATACAGACATTCAAAGATTTAGTTGTAGATAGAAGAAGGATAATACAGCTCACAATATGTTTTTATTAGAGCTAGGATAGAATTCTCAAGGCCTAGTAAGTAAAAATCTGGTAGAACTCTATGTTGAAAGCCATTTCTTCTAGAACTTGTATGGGTCTTGAAGATTCGAAGCCTAACCCTAATACTAGTAGCATGGTATTAGATGCTACACGTAAAATCTCTTCATGTGGCAAGGCAAGCTCCTTGGTTTGGGGTCAGGGGGCCGTCCTAAATGATCCGTCTGGCAAGATCTGCGGTATG